TCTTAACAATAAAAATGAAAAAAAAAAAAAAAATTACTACTCAGACAAGGACCAAACCCAGGTTGGCCGCGTCTTAATCTAGCGTACTAACCACTGTACCACAACAGCTGTACGTTTAATGGTGACTTATCTAGTTATATCATCATTAACCTGCATCCTGCTCACGAGGCTACGAGAAAATAGATAAAAAGAGCAGAGCTGCGGTAAAATAATGAATAAGAAGGCTGTGGTCAAGTAAATGAATAAATTATTTTTAAAAAGTGTGACTGCTGAGAGCAACCGATTCTGGAACTAGGGACACCGGCCCTCGCGGCCAAAAAACGGACCGGCCCACCAGGAATTCTCCCGGTCCTCCCGATTAGCCAATCCGGGCCTGCCTCGGGAATAAATTAGTACTTTTTTTCAATCATTTTGATTATTTAAAGGGTCATGAAGCATAACATGACCCATATTTCTTCTGCTTTTAAGCTTAATCTCACGGTTTTCCATTTTAAAACCTTGCATTATTTATAACTTTTTTCTTATTTTAACAAAATGTACACATGAAAACAAGACAAAACACAAGATTTTTCTTTTCACTAAAACAGATAAAGCTGAATGCATATCAAGTGTGTGTTTGTGCATTAATAGGTGTTTTCTCACTGCAGTGACATGTGTGTTTGACCGGTCAGCGGTTCGTCCTCTCTCATGTCTCCACACACTGCTTCATTCTGGCCTGTAATGACAGTAAAACACACATTAATATAGAAACACAGTACTGTTCTCACACACACACACACATACACACAACCATGCATGCACGCACGCACACACAAACACACACACACACACACAATGGCCAATTTAGTTTATTCAGTTCACCTATAGCGCATATGTGTTTGGACTGTGCGGGAAACTGGAGCACCTGGAAGAAAACCCACACCAACACTGGGAGAACATGCAAACTCCACGCAGAAATGCCAACTGACCCAACCGGGGCTCGAACCAGCGACCTTCTTGCTGAGGCGACAGTTCTAACCACTAAGCTGCCATGCTGTCCCCCTTCCCCAACAATTAAATAAAAACATAAATAATAAACAATAAATAAAATAATAATATAAAAACAAAATAGGAATAATGATATGAAATAAATAAAGAGTACTGGCATCAAGAATTCTTTTCAGGGAATGCATTTGTACATCAGGTTACATTGTGTATATCAAATATTCTATAGCCAGCTTTCATTTATGTAAATAAAATGTACTTCCTCTGCTAAAAATATACAAAATAAATTATAAATAAAGCATCAATAAAGAGTCATTGAACATTGACCGAAACTCAAAATATCATGCAAATAATAAAAAAAGAAACAAGTTTAAATGATACTTATTTTATCTTTTTATTATTTAAGATATCAACCTAATTTTGTTATCTGGCCGATAATAACTACATAAATAATTATCGATATGACCAAAGATATATTGTGCACCCCTAGTTATGTATTTATGTATTTATTTATTTGATTTATTTTTTATTTAATTAATTAATTTATTTAGTAATTTTATCAACGTTATTCATTCATTTATTTCAATTAATTAATTAAATTTATTTATTTATTTATTAGTTTAATCAATTTATTTATTTATTTATTTTTTATTTAACTGATTCATTTTTTTATTTATAAATGTATTAATTAATTAATTAATTAATTCATTCAATTTATTTATTTTTATTTTATTTATTTAATTCATTTAATCATTTATTTAATTAAATTTATAAATGTATTTATTCATTCATTCTATTTATTTATTTATTTAACTAATTCATTCATTTAATTCATTTATATACTTATTTATTCATTAATTAATTCATCCATTCTATGTATTTATTCATTCATTCTATTTGTTTATTTATTTAATTAATTCATTCATTCATTTAATTCATTTATATACTTATCTATTCATTAATTAATTCATCCATTCTATTTATTTATTCATTTCATTTATTTATTCATTCAATTTAGTTAGTAAGTTCATTAGTTTTTTCTTTTATTTATTTATTCAATAATTCCTTCCTTCATTCATTTAATTAATTATATTTATGCACTTATTTAGTTAGTTTGTACGTGCAGTTTTTATTTATTGAATTTAATTAATTAATTTATTTATTCATTCATTAATTCATTCTATTTATTTATTTATTTAATTTATTTATTCATTCAATTAATTTACTTAATTTATATACTTATTCATTCATTCAGTCTACTCATTTAATAATTTATTAAATTGAATTATTTATTCATTCAATTAATTTATTTATTTAATTTATATACTTATTTATTTATTTAGTAAGTACATTAGTTTGTTTATTTTTTTATTCATTAATTCATTTGTCACAACAAGGGACAGTGTACATTAATCAACATTTCTCAAGAACGTAAATACATCCAAATTAGCACAAAGACAATTTTTCATTAGTGGCAATTTGTCAAATGTTAAAGGCCTACTGTAAGTCCTGAACTCTTTTATTAAGCTATGCCTGTCCATGTTTCCATTATACGGCACCTTTAAAAACAGCCATGCATTTCAAATATCCCATTTATTGAATAACATCTTAACATGAGACTTATGTCAGGAAACAAACTTTTCATTTCAAGCTTGTAAACAGCATTTTTAAGTTGATCACGTCATGTTTTTCAGTCCGATTAGTCTGGAAGTGAAGCACTTTTCTACATTGCATTAGCAGGACTCCGTTTGAGCCGTCTATGGAAATGCATTGTGACATACAGCGTGATTGTAGTGGATGAAGTGGCAGGAAAATCAAGTAATTTATGCAGTGCATTTAAATCAACAGAAAATAAAACAATCCTCCAGCGCACAAAATAACAGTTAAGATGCACAGCGTCATTCTGGAGTTGGGAAAATTTGTATTGTTGGATGAATAATTCATGCATTCACGACAACTAAACAGGAGCTTGTTTTTCAGTGCAGATGTCTAAATATGCTCAAATCAATATTAATTATTTTCAAAAGCAAAACGACTTGCGAGATATTAGGTCTCGTAACAATGTGTTTAGGGCTAACTCAGTTTATTCTGACTAAAGAGAAAGATCTGCTACTTGGGTCAGAAAAGTACATTCTTTTTAACGCCAAATGCAGAGGTTTTTGTTTGTCTTGCTTCAAATATATTCACAAATATAAGTTTAAAACATTAATGTTGTGTGTCATTTTGCTTCTTAAGTAAATGAATATTAATCAAAGTATATATTTGATAAAATATGCATAAAAATGAACTGAGTTTATGTCTAAAACTAGACAGATATCTCTTTCAGAGGTGGAAACAAACCAAAGAATAAATAACTTGCTTTTCATTTAATTTGAGTTGAGTTTTCTGATCCAGTTTACATATATACAGTGGGTGACACTTTAAAATGAGCATTACTGCCACCGGCCTGCATGGTGGCGCAGTGGCGACCTCACAGCAAGAAGATCACTGGTTTGAGCCTTGGCTGGGTCAGTTGGCGTTTCTGTGTGGAGTTTGCATATTCTCCCCGTGTTGGTGTGGATTTCTTCCGGGTGCTCCGGTTTCCCCCACAAGTCCAAAGACATGTACAGGTGAATTGGGTAGGCTAAATTGTCCGCAGTGTGTGTGTGTGAATGAGTGTGTATGGATGTTTCCCAGTGATGGAAGGGCATCCGCTGTGTAAAACATATGCTGGATAAGTTGGCGGTTCATTCCGCTGTGGCGACCCCATATTAGAAAGAAGAAGATGAATAAATGATAACATTTTTACATTTACATTTAGTCATTTAGCAGACGCTTTTATCCAAAGCGACTTGCAAATGAGGACAAGGAAGCAATTTACACAACTAAGAGCAACAATGAATAAGTGCTATAGGCAAGTTTCAGGTCTGTAAAGTCTAAGAAGGAAAGCATTAGTAAATTTTTTATTTTTATTATTATTCTTTTTTTTTGGGTACAGTTAGTGTGATATCCAGAGAGGCAATTGCAGATTAGGAAGTGAAGTGGAGACTAAATAGTTGAGTTTTTAGTCGTTTCTTGAAAACAGTGAGCGACTCTGCTGTTCTGATGCTGTTAGGGAGTTCATTCCACCAACTGGGCAGATTGAACGCAAGCATTCGCGAAAGTGATTTCTTCCCTCATTGGGATGGAACCTCGAGGCGACGTTCATTCACAGAACGCAAGTTTCTGGAGGGCACATAAATCTGCAGAAGTGAGAGCAGATAAGAAGGAGTAAAGCCAGCTGCTTTGTAGGCAAAAATCAGAGCTTTGAATTTGATGCGAGCAGCAACTGGCAGCCAGTGCAAACGGATGAGCAGCGGAGTGGCATGTGCTCTTTTAGGTTCATTAAAGACCACTCGTGCTGCTGCGTTCTGGAGCAGCTGAAGAGGCTTGATAGAGTTAGCTGGAAGCCCCGCTAGTAGAGAGTTGCAGTAATCCAGTTTGGAGAGAACAAGAGCTTACCCGCGCAGCTCTAAAGGAGTAAGAATGCATTTTTAGGTATGACCGCAGTTTGCGACTATGCCGCTAGGGAGCACAAAGGGAAGGGATGCGAACAAACAGAAATAACCTATACAGTGGCTGTAAATACTCTGCTACTCGTAAATGAAGATGAAACCATGAAACAAAACATTATAATTCCCTTCATAAATCACTAAAACTTGTTAACAAGCTGTGTTATTATTGTAAACTTCTTAAGTGCTATGAGGATTCATTTTGGAAAGTAGAATAAAGAAATAAAAGACAACTAAAATGAAAATACAAATTTTGTATGTTTAAAGTAGGTTTAAATAAACAAACAAACAAACAAATAAATAAAGCAGTGTTTATGTGTCAACAAATAAGCTTTTTCATTTACAGTTATCATTTTCATCTAATTTTATGTCTCAATTACTGCACATGAATAAAAAATGAATAATAAAATATAGATATCTTTGGTTTAAATCAATAAAAATTCTATTTATTTTTTACACAAAACAACATTTCAAATCGTCTTCTTTATGTGACTATATTCTGACATCTGGAAAATGAGAAAAAGCAAGATTGGGAAGATATTAAGTCGTATCAAAAAAAATCTCTTTAAATTAATTTAGGTTTATAAATGAAATTATAAGTACACATGCACGCACGCATGCATGCACTTATATACTCATAATTTCATTTTTTTAACGTACGTACACTTGCACACACAAGCACAAGAGCGCGCACACACAAACACAAACACACACAATAATACTTATTATTTTTCAGGGGACGCCACAGCGTAATGAACCGCCAGCTATTACAAATATGTTATGTTTTAGGCAGCGGATGCCCTTCCAGCTGCAACCCAGCACTGACCCAGCAACCAGCAACCCAGCAACCCAAACACCCATACACACTGTTGTTCACATACACTCATACATTACGGCCACTTTAGGTAATCGAATTCCCCCTTTAGCGCATGTGTTTGGACTGTGGTGGAAACCGGAGCACCTACGCCAACATGGGAAGAACATGCAAACTCCACACTGAAATGCCAACTGACTCGAACCAGCAACCTTCTTGCTGTGAGGGCCCATTGACATCAAATTCTATCCAAGTCAATGGTTTTCAGCTTTTGTTGTGTTCAAGGGTACATAAATGATGACAGAATTGTCATTTTTGCCTGAACTATCCCTTTAAGACGTTGGTACACTGGAATATGACCAAGATGATATTTTGCACTGTGCAAAAGCCTAATGTCCTTCATGATTTTCCCTCATGTTACTCCAAACCCGTGCATCTTTCCTCAATAGAGAATGAAAGCAGATATTTTAGGTAGTTTTGGGCTATTTTAGAGCTTGGCAGAACTCTTCAATAATTCTCACGCAAGAAAGCAAGACAGTCATATGGGTTTGCAATGGCATGACACTGAGTAACTGAGGAGAAAAGTTGAACTTTTGTGCTACAAGAGGCGAAATTCAGTGTTTAATCCATTTTTATTTGACTCCTAAGCATTTTAATCCTGGTTAATTTGTAAAAGGACATGTTAAAAGGATAATTCACCAAACATGAACATTTACTCACTATTTACTCATCCTGTCATCATTTACTGTCCTTTCACTCATTTCAAACCTGCTTAAGTTTCTTTCTTCTGTGGAACACAACAGATATTTTAAAGAAAGCTGAAAATCTGTCAGCATCGACATCCATAGTAGAAAAAAACAAATATTATAGGAGTCAATAATCACAGAATTTCAGCTGTCTTCAAAATATCTTCTTTTGTGTTCCACATCAGAAACTTAAACATGATTTAAACAAATAAAAGGAGAGCACATGATGACAGAATTGTCATTTTTGCGTGAACTATCCCTTTAAGACGTTGGTACACTGGAATATGACCAGGATGATATTTTGTATAATGCAAAAGCCTAATGTCCGTCATCATTTTCCCTCTTGTTTCTCCAAACCCGTGCATCTTTCCTCAATAGAAATGAAAGCAGATATTTTAGGTAGTTTTTGGCCTTTTTTTAGAGCTAGACAGAACTCTTCAATAATTCTCACACAAGACAGTCATATGGATTTGCAGTAGCATGACTGAGTAACTGAGAAGAAAAGTTGAACTTTTGTGCTACAAGAGGCCAAAATTAGCATTCAATCCATTTTTATTTGACTCCTAAGCATTTTTAAACATGGATAATTTGTAAAAGGACATGTTAAAAGGATAGTTCACCAAACATGAACATTTACTCACTATTTACTCATCCTGTCATCATTTACTGTCCTTTCATTTGTTTCAAACGTGTTTGAGTTTCTTTCTTTTTTGTATACAGGAGATATTCTGAAGAGAGCTGAAATCCTATCACCATCAACATCCATAGTAGAAAAACATCATGATAAAAGTCACAGGTTTTCAGCTTTGTTCAGAATAACTTCTTTTGAATTCAACAGAGGAAACTCAAACATGTTTGGAACAAATAAAGGTTGAATAAATGATGACAGAACTTAAATATTTGTGTGAACTTTCCTTTTAAGACGTTGATCTACTGGAATATGACCAAGATGATATTTTGCACTGTGCAAAAGCCTAAAGTCCTTTATGATTTTCCCTCATGTTACTCCAAACCCGTGCATCTTTCCTCAATAGAGAATGAAAGCAGATATTTTAGGTAGTTTTGGGCTATTTTAGAGCTTGGCAGAACTCTTCAATAATTCTCACGCAAGAAAGCAAGACAGTCATATGGGTTTGCAATGGCATGACACTGAGTAACTGAGGAGAAAAGTTTAACTTTTGTGCTACAAGAGGCGAAATTCAGTGTTTAATCCATTTTTATTTGACTCCTAAGCATTTTTAATCCTGGTTAATTTGTAAAAGGACATGTTAAAAGGATAGTTCACCAAACATGAACATTTACTCACTATTTACTCATCCTGTCATCATTTACTGTCCTTTCACTCGTTTCAAACCTGCTTGAGTTTCTTTCTTCTGTTGAACACAACAGATATTTTAAAGAAAGCTGAAAATCTGTCAGCATCGACATCCATAGTAGAAAAAAACAAATATTATAGGAGTCAATAATCACAGAATTTCAGCTGTCTTCAAAATATCTTCTTTTGTGTTCCACATCAGAAACTTAAACATGATTTAAACAAATAAAAGGAGAGCACATGATGACAGAAATGTCATTTTTGCGTGAACTATCCCTTTAAGACGTTGGTACACTGGAATATGACCAGGATGATATTTTGTATAATGCAAAAGCCTAATGTCCGTCATCATTTTCCCTCTTGTTTCTCCAAACCCGTGCATCTTTCCTCAATAGAGAATGAAAGCAGATGTTTTAGGTAGTTTTTGGCCATTTTTTAGAGCTTGACAGAACTCTTCAATAATTCTCACACAAGACAGTCATATGGATTTGCAGTAGCATGACTGAGTAACTGAGAAGAAAAGTTGAACTTTTGTGCTACAAGAGGTGAAATTCAGGATTCAATCCATTTTTATTTGACTCCTAAGCATTTTTAATCCTGGTTAATTTGTAAAAGGACATGTTAAAAGCCAGGCACGTGCACACACAGGGCTCAACCTGTGCAATGCACATGCCCTTTTTAGTCTTGGATAGAAAGTGCCCTTCCAAAAAGTGCCTACAGCCTCCCATTTGTTCCGACATCCATAGTAGGAAAAACAAATACTATAGGAGTCAATGGTTTTCAGCTTTCTTCTAAATGTCTTCTTTTGAGTTTAACAGAGGAAACTCAAACATGATTTAAACAAATAAAAGGAGAGCAAATGCTGATAGAATTGTCATTTTTGCGTGAACTATCCCTTTAAGACATTGATCTACTGGAATATGACCAGGATGGTATTTTGCACTGTGCAAAAGCCTAAAGTCCTTCATGATTTTCCCTCATGTTACTCTAAACCCGTGCGTCTTTCCTCAATAGAGAATGAAAGCAGATATTTTAGGTAGTTTTTGGCCTTTTCAGAGCTTGACAGAACTATTAAATAATTCTCACGCAAGAAAGCAAGACAGTCATATGGGTTTGCAATGGCATGCACTGTGTAACTGAGGAGAAAAGTTGAACTTTTGTGAGAGGCAAATTCAGCATTCAATCCATTTTTTAGATGCTTGTTTATAGTATGAACACGCTTTGACATCTCCAGATGATTGCAAGCTTCCTGACGGGCAAAATAAACAGAGGAGCGAGTGGACTTCTGTCTGCTCAGTAGTCTGTGAACGTATGAAGGAGGAACAATAATTCACAGCCATGATGGACTGAACTTCCACACGGCCTGAGATGAAAGAATCATGGGAAGGGGGAGGCGCTGTAAAATTGATTTGTGAGAGAAAAGTCCTACCTTGGCATTGTGATTTTGCATAGCACGAGTTCGACAGCTGAATAAAAGAGCAAAAAAGAAATCAAATTGATGGTGAGCAATCTTTATCCACATTCATCATCAAACTAGTCATTCCTGCTGTGCTGTACATTTGAATGTCTCACGTTCATTTATATATATTAATAATAATACATGAATATATATATATATATATATATATATATATACACATATATATATACATACATACATACATATATGCTTTTTGATCAATTTTGAAGGACTCTGAATTATTAAAACCATCAAAACTCGGCTGAAAACCTTTCAATAGAGCAGAACAAACATTCAGATTTAGCTCATAGTCCATGTGTTCTTTTGCAGACAAATATTTACAGATTTCATTCATTCATTTTCTTGTCGGCTTAGTCCCTTTATTAATCCGGGGTCGCCACAGCGGAATGAACCGCCAACTTATCCAGCAAGTTTTTACGCAGCGGATGCCCTTCCAGCCGCAACCCATCTCTGGGAAACATCCACACACACATTTACACACACACTCATACACTACAGACAATTTAGCCTACCAAATTCACCTGTACCACCCGGTGGAAACCCACGCAAGGCAGGGAGAACATGCAAACTCCACACAGAAACGCTAACTGAGCCGAGGTTCGAACCAGCGACCTTCTTGCTGTGAGGCAACAGCAGCACCTACTGCGCCACTGCCTCGCCACTATTAAATAAAATGCATCAGACGTGGTTATGAAGCTTTCAAGGACTTTGCATAAAGTTTAGTTTCAGCATGCGTTCTCAGTCATCGCTGTATTGCATTATATGCTTTGAAAGGAAAGAGCTTTAAATCATAAAAGTAAAAAATTCATTAACGTACTTCTCTGAGATAAAGAAATACACAATTCTATGCACTTTCTCCTTGACTTTGAGCTTTATATTCTCACTGCAGTATTTATACTATTAATTATGTTAATAAATATTTAAATATGAACATGTTCCAATTAAAATAAATGAGATTTTTGTCTGAATATGATTAGTCTTTACAGCATTAACTGCTAACACATTTTCTTTACATATTCATTATTTAATATAACTTTAATGTAACCATAATGTTAGTCTTTATAATCTTACATAACTTTTATCATGAGGGTTATCAATGTACACTCACCGGCCACTTTATTAGGTGCACATTACTAGTACTGGGTTGGACCCCCTTTGGCCTTCAGAACTGCCTTAATCCTTCGTGGCGTAGATTCAACAAGGTACTGGAAATATTCCTCAGAGATTTTGCTCCCTATTGACATGATAGCATCACGCTGTTGCTGCAGATTTGTCTGCTGCACGTCCATGATGCCAATCTCCCATTCCATCACATCCCAAAGGTGCTCTATTGGATTTGGTGACTGTGGAGGCCATTTGAGTAAAGTGAACTCATCGTCATGTTCAAGAAACCAGTCTGAGATGATTTTCGCTTTATGACATGGTGCGTTATCCTGCTGGAAGTAGCCATCAGAAGATGGATACACTGTAATCATAAAGAGATGGACCCACACCATTACACCACCACCCTAAACCATTGATACAAGGCAGGATGGATCAATGCTATCATGTTGTTTATGCCAATTATGACCCTACTATCTGAATGTGGCAGCAGAAATCAAGTATCATCAGACCAGATAACGTTTCTCCAATCTTCTATTGTCTAATCTTGGTAAACCTGTGTGAATTGTAGCCTCAGTTTCCTGATCTTAGCTGACAGGAGTGGCCCCCGGTGTGGTCTTCTGCTGCTGTAGCCCATCTGCCTCAAGGTTGGACGTGTTGTGTGTTCAGAGATGCTCTTCTGCAGACCTCGGTTGTAATGAGTGGTAATTTGAGTTACTGTTGCCTTTTTATCAGCTGGAACCAGTCTGGCCATTCTCCTATGACCTCTGACATCAACAAGACATTTGCGCCCACAGAACTGCCGCTCACTGGATATTTTCTCATCTTCGGACCATTCTCTGTAAACCCTAGAGATGGTTGCGCGTGATAATTCCAGTAGATCAGCAGTTTCTGAAATGCTAAGACCAGCCTGTCTGGCACCAACACCCATGCCATGTTCAAAGTCACTTAGGGCGTACTCACACTATGCCATCCGAACCGTGCCCAGGCCCGTTTCCCGGATCGTTTGAGAAGTGTGAGTGCGCTAAATCGGGCTCAAGCACGGATCACTTGGCCGGCCCTGGCCCGGTTGGAAGAGGTGGGCCTGAACACGGTTCACTTGGGCTTTTGAGTGCAAAATGCACCAAAGCCCGAAACTGAATGCGAGACGTGACTTTAAGGGACTGTTTCAGATTTATTAATCATTCTTACTGTTCAGTGAACGCAAACTGCCGTAGTTTATTAAAGACACAAACTCCTCACTGCACGACAGCTGCGCTCCTTCAGCAAACCTCCTCATTCCTGCAGCACGAGAGCTTTATGATTGTTTATGAGCGCCAAAAGTGGCGGATCTGTTCGGCGAAATATCTGACTGCGTGTCCCCGCATCCCTAAGGACTGTTTGGCGAAATATTTGACGGCATATCAAACGACCGAAACGATATAACTAGAGAAATCTCCACTGTGCTGCTGAGTGAGAGCGCTTCTCACTGAACAGCACAGCAGCGATAATGTAAGCGTGCCGAGGCCCGATTGTGGTGTGGGTGCAGCCCGTCGGGGGAGACGGGAGGATGGACAAGCGTGCTTTGGCCCGGTTTGAGGCAACTGTACCTAGTGTGAGTATGGCCTTAAATTCCCTTTCTTCCCCAGTCTGATGCTCGCTTTGAACTGCAGCAGATCATCCTGACCATGCCTACACTCCCAAATGCATTGATTTGCTGCCATGTGATGGCCAATTAGAAATTTGCGTTACCGAGTGGTTGAACGGGTGTACCTACTAAAGCGGCCAGTGAGTGCATTTAATGAAATCAGTAATGTTGGTTGGTTTGTTTGCTTAAACATGAATACTCTCTGATCAAATTGTGTAACTAATATTCCAACAAATATGAAAAAGCCTATTTAAATAAACAAGCTTTAATATATGGCTTGTTGGGACAGGACAATATTTAGCTGAGATGTAACTGTTTGAATATCTGGAATCTCATGTTTCAAAGAAAAAATCTAAATATTGAGAAAGATCCCTTTTAAAGTTTCTGTGACATCAAAATAAAGTCTTAAAAATGATTTAGTGTGCTCTAAAACAGTGACAAAATTCAGATTTAGAGCAGATATAAACATCCAAAGCTTGCAGTTTGTCACTTGTGCAAAAATTGATCAGTTTTTTGTTTTTTTGACGTCACCTCTTACTTCAGTTTCTCATCAAATCATCTGACCAATTTAAATGCTTTCTAGTATCTGACATGCCCTGCCCCTTTAAGACACTTCTGCTCTTGAGCCAACCACTCTCACTGGCAGGGCTGTGATAAAACAAAATGCTATTGGCCGTTTTTATAAAGAGGGGAGGAGCTACTCTATATCCTGCCCTCTATTCATGTTTCAGTTGAAATTAAGCCACATGTAAAACAAAAATGCACATTTCAAAACACGTTAAAGGAACTTTAAAGTTGTCAAGAATCAGCTCTTAGCAATGCATATTAATTACAATTAGCTATATTTTGGTAGGACATTTACAAAATGTCTTCACTGAAAATCCTAATGATTTTTTTTGGCACAAAAGTAAAATCGATAGCTTTGACTCAAAATAAGCTTAATATTTTGTTGAGGCAGAAATGTATTTTTGGTTACTTCTACAAATATACATTAAGACCACAATCTTGAGGCCACAAATAGAAAAAAAGAGCCTTTTTATTTCTCTTCATGAACATCCTGTGCTTGAGATACTGAGCTTGACGTAGGTATATTTCTGAACGTCTGCAAAACCTTTTTATAGAAATATATCCCTAATTACAGACATTCACATTCATCATGTAGAGGTTACAGAGTTTACGTGGTTGTGCACAGCAGGAAGGACTCAACTCTTATAGTAGGGACGGTGAAATACCTCCTCATTGTGTTTCTCCAGCCTCTCCAGTTGTTCCCGCTGAGCCGCCTGGAGTTGCTCGCACTCCTTGGTCTGTTTCATGGCGAGCTGTCAATCAGCGTCCATGTTAATTAACACAATTAGAAGCATACATTTAAAAAAAGCAAACCTCTGATGCAAGATTAGAATCATTACCCTTTTTCTTTCTGTAAGAAACTTTCTTGTGTTCGTGCTGTTGAGCTCTCGAACTCTCCTGCAATAACATTATGATATGTCAAGGGTTGTGTCTCAAATGACACTCTATGCACTTATACACTATAATATTATGCACTTATACACTGAAGCAACTCAAGCAGAGTTTAGTGTTGTCTCAAATGTAACACTAATGTTTTTTTTACTAAACGGAATTTCAAACAGTTTCATAGGTGATGTTAAACGGTTGCCAAATTAGGGAAATAAAAATAGTATATGCTGTAGTATAGGGTATGTGCTCGTTCTTATAGTATTTGTTAGTTATGCATAGTTTTTTTTTTAGAAATAGGTCTTATCACCAGTGTTGTGTTTGTACTTATGATTAATTTATGTAGCACCTTTGTCCTGTAAGACACAATATTTCATTCCTCTGTATGTCCACACATGTAGCGGAACGACAATAAAGCTTGACTTGACTACCCATCGATGAATTTGCTCTTCAGAGTTTGAACTCTCTGTAATGATTAAATCACACTGAACTGAGCTAAACTGAACTGAACTGAACTTAAACACTAAAAACTGAACTACACTGTTCCAGTTACTATAACCATTTATGTGAAGCTGCTTTAACACAATCTAAATTGTAAAAGCGCTATACAAATAAAGCTGAATTGAATTGAATTGAACTTGGCTTGACTTGACTTGAAATACCAAACTGCTAAATCGTAGCTATCATAAGTACAACCTTAGTCACCATTTGGGAGGCAGCAAAATCACAATCCAACACAAGGTGTCACAATCCAAAACAAATAAAGAAATCCAACCTTAGCTCTCAATAGCTCCTTCCCTTTCATTATGTGAGCAAAAAGGTGACCACTATTTTCCAAAAAAGTAACTTTTTAAAGCAAACTTTTTTTCACAGGGTTTAAAAGTTAATGACATCAGTCAGTTTTTTTTAAAAGCTACGAGTAGGTTTTTGTTTATAACTTTTGACCACTATATGGCGTTGGCTTAAAATTTGGTGCAAACCCTAAGTATATTATAATAATCATAATTTCAAAGACTCATCACATCACATCAAAGCGTTCCCAAAATATGTTCTTTTTTATACAATTAATTATCACATAAGGGACAAAACGTTTTAGAAAATCATTTTTGGTAAAGTTGGGTTTAAATGTTATTCATATGAATAAATTTGTTAGGAGGATTTGTGGGATATGTAATAAATAACTGTGATGGTGTTCAAAATAATTTTTATTGCATAGAAAAAAACGTTTTTTTACTCATATATCTGACTAAGAGATTATTGTGTATAAAGTGACAAACGAAATTTATTAACATTTTATAGAAAAACAAAATAATATTAAAAAAATCTCTTCATACTTTTTGGGCATACAAATATCATCATCTGCTCCAACCTGCCTATTTTTGTTAATTTTAGACCTCTGATTAAAACTTTTTTCTTTTACTTCTTGCTCATGAGCTTCTTTTTTTCTATGAAAATCATACTATTGGTTATACCAATTTTGTCTAAAGATTAAATAATCTCTCTCTTTCTAAACATTCATATTTAATTTAAATTACAAGTACATACTTGCTCATAACTTTTGATCAGCAGGCAGGGATGTTTTAAAATATACTGCACTCACTAAATGCATATTGAAATAAATAACACCTAAGTTTGATCAAATTATGCCAAAACATTCCCAAAATAGACACTTTATTGCGTGATTTTAAAAATGGTATATGCAAAGTTTCCTTTTCTTTTTATAATTTTTGCAATTTAAAAATAGGTAAATTCAAAACTTCCAAGAAAGAGTTTAGAAAAGGTTAAAGCATACAGTGTGATTATACTAAAAATGCATTTATTATTTGAAGGATACAATCAACATGGTCTTTCTGATTTAGGTAAATAATACAATAATAAATAAGCTCAATCTCTAAATATTAAAGCATTGTGATGGCTCAATTTAATGCGTTTAATGATGTTCTTGAGGTGAAATCTGGTGATGTGCAGATCAGTAAATCAGAAATCAACACATTTGCAGTGTAAGGGGCTGTTCACATATTGTGTGCTACGCATGTGCGAGTTCCTTATTTTCAACGAAGACACTCTTTTCAGAATGCCACATGCACACTGTGAGACATGTGACAACTACTAACCAATCAGCTTCTTTTTTTATGTAATATATATTATATATATATATATTTCAGTAATCACGGTGAACAGTGCTTTTTAATTTTCTCTGCAATAACTCTTGTATCAGAGCTGCAGAAATGGTTTGTCAGCTTATCATCCTCTGAAAATTTGGTTAATGGTTGCCAAGCGGTGTGAGGAAAACCACCTCTCACTCAACATCAGCAAAACCAAGGAGCTGGTGGTGGATTTCAGGAGAGAGGAGAGAGAACACACCCCCATCCTCCGCTCGTTCTACACCTGCACTGTGGAGAGCATCCTGTCTGGCTGTATCACCACCTGGTATGGAAATAGCACCAGCAGCAATCCCAAAGGCCTACATAGGACTGTGTGAACTGCTGGACGTGTAGTTGGAGGTGAGCTTCCCTCGCTCCAGGACATCTACATCAGGCAGTGCATGAGGAAAGCATTATCAGCAACTCCAGCCACCCAAGCCATAGACTTTTCTCTCTGCTACCCTCAGGCAGACGGTTCCGCAGCATCCGGTCACGCACCAGCCGACTGAAGGAAAGCTTCTTCCCTTAGACTATCAGGCTGATGAACACTTAACATACCACACAGACACTTCCAAACCCCTCACTGCACACCATCAATTTGTAGCATGCACTGCACTTTAACCAATCCATACTTGAAACAATACTGCCTACAACTATGTGGACACCTATTCATTGCACATATCGCTGTCAATTTCACATTGTCGTTGTATTTGCACTGTCTGTATTTTGTATTGTCTGGAGCCAGCACCTAAGCAAAAGATCAAAATGATTCTCAACCACTTTCAGATGCAATATGTGAACAGCCCCTAAAATTATATGACAGAAATTTGTCAGCAATCCAAACCCAAGTTCAAAAGTAAAAGCAGTTCTAAATGGCAGAAAGTTTTCTGCATTTCCTGAGATAAGCAGATTAATAGGTTTCTAGATGGTGCCCGGCCCTTAAAAGAAACAAATTTTATGGATGAAATTGGACAAGATGATTCTGTTTGGGCAGGAAATTACAATAGCAATGCCTCACAATACACGAAAAGCACAAAGGAAAGTGCACCTACAAAGCAGTTATTATTACCGCTCTCGCTCAGCCTTGTTCTTTATGCTTTTGTCTTGACTGATGGCCTTGCTGCTCTCCATTGAGGTCTTGGCTTGGTTGGTCCGCATCTCTTTACTCTGACTGTAAGAGGAAATATAATTCAATTCAGCTTTTATGACAAACACTGGTGTGCTTTATAATGTTAAAAGCAGGGCTGTGTTTATAAACAGAGCAGAGACTGTGTGTCAGTAGAAAAGTACTAAAGATAGTGCCAGAGGTCTAAGATTTGACACATTTATTAAATGAATCTGGAGCAGCATGGTGGCTCAATGGTTAAAACTGTGGCCTCACAGCAAGAACGTCACTGGTTTGAGTCCTGGCTGGGCCAGTTGGCATTTCTGGTGGAGTGTGCAATTCCCCCTCATGTTGGCGTGGGTTTTCTTCCGGGTGCTCCGGTTTCCCTAACAGTCCAAACACATGCAGTATTCGGTAAACTAAATTGGCTGTAGTGTATGAGTGTGTGAATGAGTATGTATGGGTGTT